GAGGTTCCTGGGCCCCACCCTGGCCTCTTTCCTTCTCTCTCCTTCTGCCCTACCTAGGACTTCAGTTACTACCTATGAGCCCATGACGCCAAGAGGCTTCTAAACGCCAGCCCCGGACCCTTGCAGGACACTTCCCCCTTACTGCCCCAATAGGATGAAACTCAAAATAGACTTGATTTCATCCCTCCTCCAACCCTGCTCTTTCTCCAATAGCGTCAGTGTCCGAACTGCCACAGTAACAACCATGAGGACACGAATCCCCAGCGTGAATCGAGTGCCAACCCATGCCAGACACAGAACCAGCATTAACTTATTTCATTCTAACAGTAACCAGTAGAGGGGAATATTTCAGTCACATCCATTCCATAGAGAAGGAAACCGCCGGACTAAGTAACTTGTGCAAGGTCACACAGGAATCAGGTGGCGATTTCAACATTGGTACCCAAGAAGTTCAGGGCCTGTACTCGTGGGGACTATGTCGTCACCCAAGGCAGGAGCCTTTCTGCCATTCTTTCCTTGCCTACCCTCCCTCCACCCATTCTCCACAATCACCGTTGCTTTTATTCATTTGACCATATTTGAGTGCCATCTTGTGCTAGGTAGTGGGCTGGGTGCTGTGGGTACAGAGATAAAGGAGACAGACCTGGTGTCCTCCCTTAGGGAGCTCACAGTCTAGCAGACACGGTCAAGCCTTTGGCTTCTAAGCTTTTCCTCCGGCCCAGGGTCCCACGGTGAACAAAACAGACATGTTGCCTGTCCAAAAGGAGGGATGGATAATCATCAGAAAACTTGGGCTCCGGAGCTGATGTGTTCTTCCTTGAAACACTTTCTCACTTGGCTTCCCGCTTTCCCCTTTCTCCTGGTTCCCTCCCACCCGTGTCCCTGGCTGCTCCTTCTCTAGAGCTGCTTCCTCCTCTTCTCCTCAGCTTCTTAAGGCTGGCGTGCTCCAGGCTTAGTCCTTACACCCATTCCTAGATGGTCTCTTCTCGTCTTGGGGCATTTAAAACACTGAGAGCTCCCTAGAAAGTTTCTCTCTCATCATCAAATCTCCAGACACGTTTTTCCACTCTGCCCCTTCATTCAAAGGTCTAATGACATAAAAGCTGAGCTCCCACTCTTCTCTCCCAAACCTGCTCCTGCCTTGGTCTCCCTGTCTTGATCGATGGCAGCTCTGTCCTTCTGTTGCTTTTACCAAAACTTCGCAGTGATCTTTGGCTCCCCATTCTCTTTCACACAACCCATATCCACTCTATCAACAAATCCTCTTGGCCCTACTTTAAAAATGTAACCATCCCAAAATGCCTATCCTGGGTCATATTTTAATTTACACCTGAGCTATTTTTTTTTTTTAGAGATACAAAATAGGAAATGCCCTCATGGAGTTAATCTCTACATCATTTATAATCTTTCTGTGTCTCTTGCTTGAAGGCATAACGAAGTCAATTAAAGAAGCAAGTTCTGCCCTAGCTGGTTTGGCTCAGTGGATAGTGTCAGGATCCTAGCTTTGATTCTGGTCAAAGGCACATGCCAGGGTTGCAGGCTCGATCCCCAGTAGGGAGTGTGCAAGAGGCAGCCAATCAAAGATTCCCTCTCATCTTTGATGTTTTTATCTCTCTCTCCCTCTCCCTTCCTCTCTGAAATCAATAAAAATATTTTTTTAAATAAAACAAATTCTTTATATTTGTAATCTCCAAAAAATTTCACCCAAGGACTTCAGTTCCCTCCTTCTACCAGAGAATGAACTTTATGTATTCATCCTGCTTCCATTTTTGCCCTGGGTGCCAGGAAGCTCATATCTAAATATGGCATCTGGTAGTGTAGTAACTATGTTGAACCTAACACTTTTTATACGCTTAATTCTTCCTTCTCCTACTAGGTATTGGGAGATCTGGCTCTAGTTGTGGCTAATCACTTTACCTCTCTGGATTTCAGCTTCCTACCTGTAGACTAAAACAAATTGGGGATTATTTTATTTATTTTTAAAAATATTTTTATTGATTTCAAAGAGAAAGGAAGAGGGAGAGAGAGAGAGAAACATCAATGATGAGAGAGAATTGTTGATCGCTGCCTCCTGCATGCCCCACACTGGGGATTGAGCCTGCAACTCGGGTTGGTGCCCTTGACTGGAATGGAACCTGGGGCCCTTCAGTCCGCTGGCTGATGCTTTATTCCCTGAGCCAAACTGGCTGGGGCGAGGGGCTTCTTTTAGATAAGCTTCAGGAGGGCCCACGAATCCCCAGGAAATTGGGTTGCATGTGTGCATTTTTCAGGACAGGAGGGCTAGAATCATCACTGGAGTCTACAAAGGCGTCCAAGACCCCAAGACCAGCCATTTTGATGGGAAATCATTTTGATGGGAAATACCCTCAAAGCCCTTTTATTAAAAGGTATGTGTGTCTCTCACACTGTGCCTCCTCCTCCCTGGGCCAGGATGCTGCCGAGGAGTCCTGCGCCCTCATCTGTCAGGTCTTCCAGATCATCTACGGGGACCAGAGCATCGAGTGCGTGGACCGGGCTGGCTACCACTACACATCCACGCCCGAAAGGCCGTGGCTCTGCAGCCGCAGTGAGTAGTCGAACTCCTGGCCTCCTCTCCTATGAAACATCCCGAAAGGCCAGGGGAGGGAGGATGCCCCAAGACGTAGGGCCACTGAAAGCCTTTAGGGGCTCTATCTCCTGCAGTTACAGTGTACCCCCAAGATGGGGTTCTTAAAAAATGTCCGTTTTCATGATGACCTCAAACTTAGCTGCTTCATAGATGTTCTGGTTGTCAGATTCAGAACAGCTGAACTTCTCTCCCCCTTTTGTTTTTGGTGTTCCTTCTTTTGCAGAAACTTAAGATAGAGCATTGTCTGTCTGTAAAGCTGGCTAGCCCCACTAGGACAGTAGGTCAAAACCAAAATTCCAAGACGGGTCCTTGAATACAATCAAGGGCTGGAATGAGAATGAGACCCAGAGAGAATTTACTGAGCACCAACTATGTGCCAAGCAGCCTTGTCTGTCCTGTTTGCTACTGTATCCTGTGTGCCTCGCCCAGGAGCAGGGACATCACAGATGCTCCATTTTATCTTTTTGAATGAATGGAGGCCTTATGATTCCGATTTTACAGATGAGGACACTAAGGTTCAGAGTAGTCAATAAATTAATCAAGCATGCACAGCTGCTAAGTGTCAGAGTTGGGATTCAAACCTGGGGATGTCTGATTCTAAAGCTTCTATTTGCACCAGCTTCACTCCCCATGCTGCCTTCAAGGCCACTAAGTGGATTTCCTCAGGCACAGCCCCCTCAGCATGGTCCCTGTTTGCATAGTTCCAGCGACAGGGAGATGGCTCTTTACTTCTGGAGGCACTCCCATCTGTAGAAACTCGCTTGAGAAAGTTGGGATAACTCATTCACGGTCACAGGAATGATAGGCAAATAAATGAGGTAATGCAATAAATATTTCAAGAAAATCATTCGACACATATTTATTGAGCACCTACTATATGCTGGGCTCTGCTAGTCGCCAGGATATATTGCTGAGCAAAACCAGATGTGGCCCTGCCCTTATGAGGCTTGCATTGCTGAGATAATGTGACAGTAGTTAAATAGTTACAAAAATACAGTGCAACCCCATGCTGTGCTATGAGAACATATAATGAGGACCCAGCCTGGCCTGGGGACTCAGGGGAGTCCTGAGGAAGTGACATTGAGTGAGCCAAGATCCGAAGGTGAGGCTAGGACCTGGCATCAGTGAGATAACTGGGCTAGGCACAGAGCCAATTCTCTGTAAACAGGGCTTCTTTACTCTCAAGACTGAGTTCCTTTCCTCTCAAAGTCCTTTTTTGTGCCACCTCAAACACATCCAGTTTACAAAATACACCTCACCTGTTCCCACCGCTGTGTACCCAAGACCCTCTGAGGCAGACAGGAAGGTGATGTCCCAATGTTGGGGACGTTGAGGGCCAGGGGACAGGAGGTGAGTTGCCCAAGATCATCTGTGTGTCAGGGGGTGAGGTGTGTGTGGGAGGGCGGGGGGCAGGAATCGTGGTTAGCAGCTTCCAGTCGCTGCCCATTTCCGAGTAAATGCTAACGTCCTTACAATGTTTACAAGGCGGTCTGTTCCAGCCGCCATCCCAACCTCAGGGAGGGACTGAGGTTGAGGCCTCAGAGGCTGGGGAGGCTGGTCCCTGCTTTGCTTCCTCTGACAGAGCCTCTGTCTGTGGTCTCAGGTGACAGCTGCCGAACCGACGGGACTTACGCCTACGATGCCGACTTCAGCTGCTGCAGCTCTTTGTGGGTACCACCCTTGCTGGGGACCTCCCTCTCGCCCCCCCCCCACACACACACCTGTTCATAAACAGGGTTGTGCTTCTAGGC